TCCGAGACGATCCATCAGTCCCAGGAGGTCTCCCAGAAGATCCAGAAGCAGAAGTCACCATCGGGAAGGCCATGGATCATCTAGTTTCGATAGAGAGCTAGAAAGAGAGAGAGAACGGCAGCGACTGGAACGTGAAGCTAAGGAGAGAGAGAAAGAAAGGCGGAGATCTCGAAGCACTGATCGCACGCTAGAATGGAGGCGGAGCAGAAGCAGGGACAGATACAGAAGCCGTAGTCGAAGTCGTGACAGGAAAGGAGATAGAAGAGACAGGGATAGGGAGCGAGAGAAAGAAAACGAACGGAGCCGGAAAAAAGAGCGAGATTACGATAAGGAAAGAGGTAGCGAGAGGGAAATAAGATCAAAAGAAAGGAAAAGTAAGGGTGATGCAGAGGAGAGAAGACACAAGGATGATAAGGATGACAGAAAACACCGGGATGACAAGAGGGATTCCAAAAAAGAGAGGAAACATAGTAGAAGTCGAAGCCGGGAAAGAAGGCATAGGAGTAGGAGCCGAAGTAGGAATACAGGGAAGCGCAGCAGAAGCAGGAGCAAAGAGAAGTCAGGTAAACATAAAAATGAAACGAAAGAGAGGTCAAATAAACGAAGTAGAAGCAGAAGCAGGGGAAGAACGGATAGTGTCGAGAAGTCTAGAAAACGAGACCAGAGCCCCAGCAAAGAAAAGTCTAGAAAGCGTAGCAGAAGCAAAGACCGTTCCCACAGACACGATCACAGTGACAGCAAGGACCATTCAGACAAACACGATCATCGAAGGAGCCAAAGCACGGAACGAGAGAGCCAAGAGAAGCAACATAAAAACAAAGATGAGACTGTGTGAACTCTTTCAGAAGTGGATCACATTGAATCCTATTAAATGTTTGATTAAATCCTGCTTATTTTTTCCTAAATTTGAGATTGTGCAGTAGTTGATGAGCACTCTTCTCCAACCTCCCTCTAGGCTGCAGATTGTCATTTCCTATTTTGGGTAGGGAAGTGCCTTTGTAAACCCATCCGATGCATTGACGGTTTCAAACCATTTGTTCAGTTCAGCTCGTAATGCGGAGGTCGTTCTCGCATTTTTATTGTTCAGATGTTTCTGAAATGTACAGTCTGTACAGATGTCCTGAAAATGTTTTAATTCCCTTGGCATGGTTGCCACGTTGGTTAAATTTGTATGAGGCAATAAACTGCCACTAATTCTACTTCCCTTTTGTAGACGTGGAATTTTGGTTTGTACCCTGGCGTTGGCACGGAACGGTACGGCTCTGAGGGATGGATCGTGAATGCGTACTGTCGCCGGGCTGTTTACCTGCATACCGTGTACACTGAGGGCTGCAGATCTGGAACTAACGGTTACCTCCACTGCACCTGCTGGTGTTTTCGAAAGCTTTCGGAATGCATTGTGTTGCTGGTCACCACCGGTGTTACAGTGCCAGCGGACTTTCCAGCTGACAGTGGGTTTGACGCCGAGACTGAGAGTCTGTTGGGGCTTGTTTAGTTAATCCTTTAGAAAGGCTACCTCAAACGTACACTGTAAAGGTTGATGGATGAGCACCGCAGCCATCTATGCATTTTGTTTGGGAAAAAAAATCCGTGTAAGCTTTCATTTTTTTTAAAAACCCCACAGTTTATCCATTTGTGGTCTTTCAGTGTTTTTGCTCCGCAGCTGCACTCTGTCATTTATGATAATCCTGGGCTAATAAAGGCATTTAAGATGGGAAGAGGGAGGTAGGAAGAAGAAAATTATTATGGAGGATTTCAGTTTCAAGCTTCCAAAGCGTTTTTATAAGTGTAAACATTTAAAATAAGAATTTACCTGATAGTGTCCTTTTTAAAGTCATATTTTCTACAAACAGTAAGGATTGCAGTTTGTGCTAAACGTTTCATCTGGCAGATTTTTTTTTTTTAACAGGTTGTTAGAAGCAAAAACCAAAATGCATTATAGAAAAATCCTGTCGTTAAAGTGCAAGTCTATTTGATAGCTTATTCTGATGACTTGTATACTGAGTGAGGAGAACCATCTGGAATAAACTCTCAATTGATTCCTTTGTATTGGGTGTCAGCTTTTCCCTGCATGTTCATTGCCAGTTGAAGAGTGTTTGGGCTCATCCATGTTTCGTGACACTTTGTAAGAACAAGGGATTTTTCACAATCCATACCTTAGGAGGAAGACTTGGCTAAGAGAGAAATGTAGCAGCCCAGAAACAGGAAGAATGTTATGTGTGACTCACTCGTGATCATGAAGTGACCTAAAGGTAGACATAATTGAATGTTTGTGCCTTTTCTTGCTTCCGTGTGATGCAGGTCATCTAGGTATGTTACACATCAAACAGTGCTTGAATATCCAACAATGCACTTCCTTCCATAGTATTCAAAGAAGCAGAAATAACAAACTCAATTTGTTCTTTCCCCCTGCTCTTACTGTTTTCTGAACTGTTGGTCTTTGTCGCCTTGATCCGTAGTATTAGATACCTTACAGTACCGAGGTGGTTCAGGTAGTCTCTCTTCTGTTTGGGGGGTCTGATGTTAAATCTCAGCTGGAAACAAAGCTTAACCTTCAGGAAGTTATTTCCATTGCAGTGTAAAACTAAAATACTGAGCTGTCATTTAACAGGGGAGGTGAAAAACTGCATAGGCCACGTAAGAAATACCCTGGCTAGCAGATCTTTAGAACTGGCTTTGCAGTCTGCCGGGGCATCGCGTGGGTTCTGTCAAAGCAACGAGGACAGCCTTAATTCAGCTTTCGTGCCACTTGGAGGCTTCTGCTCTCAGGAGTTTTTAACCTTCAGCCTGTGCGTTTCTGCAACAAGTGCGTTCTCGGGCAGGGAGACTGCCAAGGTCTCAGGGAAAACGGGTTACTGATGTCCAGTTGTTCCTTCGGTGCTCCTCTGCTGGGCAATAGAGAAAGAATGGTTTATTGGCAGGCAAAATCCAGATATTTAAGGAATGATCTTTGGCCCGAAAGTGGAGAGAGCTGCCTCGTTACAACAAAGGCAGCAAACGTTTTGATGCAGCTTGTGCAAGACCAGCCCGTGCCAGTACCTCTTGAAAGAGCAATGATGTGAGGACTTTGCTTTTATTTTTCAATGACTAGTCCTTTCTGACGTTTGGATTGAAGTTGATCTGCATTACGTATGTGAGCGAGCGGCCTAATGGCTGGCACAGTGCTCGCGACCGACCAAGACCGCGAAGAGCAGTAAAACCCAGACACTTGTCCCGAGTTACCACTGGGATCTAGTATCTTGCCGCTCTCGGGCTTGTGTCTGGGGACTCTAGTTTCTTTCTGATGCCGTTTGATTTCACGTGACCTTCCCCAAAACCAGCAGGAACAGATCCGCAGACCTTGTACAAAGCACCTCTGATGAGAACTGGCAAGAGGAGCGAGTCCCCGGTGCCGACCGGCCTGAAGCCAGTCGCTGGCAGTACAGCCGCAGAGGGTGTTTGCCTCCCACTGTAGCGTATTGCAGGGATCTGACTTGGAACCGTAACGGGAGTGGTGTGGTAGTCTTGCCTGTACCAAAAAGGTGACTTGAGTGGCAGGGGAATTGATCACATCACGGGGGCGGGGTGCTCAGTACACCGTGCAAACCCATGGTTTTCATACTTCCATTTATATGCTGGTGAAGAACTGTGGATGAGCTCATACTGTAGTGCTTACAGCGGAATACTGCTGCGCTGGCGGTAGGCAAACGGCACCTCGAAGAGTCAGCTGAATTCTGCTGGCCTGGGTAGATGCCTGAGCCCTTTCTGCAGGGCTGTGGAGGGCGCACAACACCCAACCCTACCCACTGTGAAGCAGGGTGAAACGGCAGGTAAGTGCTGTTTCGGGGCTTTGCCACGTCATTGCCCTTGTACCACCACCTGCAGTTTCTCCTTTACCCAGCGAGAGCTGGATGTGGGAGAACACTGCTTAAATCTCAGCAATTCTGGGTCAAAGCTGAAACCAGCTAAAGGACAGATTTTTGCCAGCTTCGTTCCTGCACTAAAACCAGCCTATGTGAGTTTTGAGCTATTCCGTGTCAAATACAACTGCAAGTAATTTGTGTCTGGAACAATACACAGACTTTTTTTACAAGTGTTCATCTCTGTATAACTGCCACCAATACATCGTTAAAGCTATCCATTTAATTGACATTTTTAATTAGGTAAGCATTAATGAAGACCTCTATAATGAACTAACCTAGGTGTTTCTAATCACGTGATTTGTTAGTGTAAGTGATTTCACAGACACTGTTGTGCAACCATTCATTTTACTGAGCGTAGCAGTAAGCTGCCTACCTCCGAGTCTTCAACAGGAATTGTCTTGATTCTCAAAATTCTTTTAGGAGGTTTGGGGGGTTGGGTTTTTGTTTGTTTTAACTATCATTTCATGGGGTTTTGTTGGTTGGTTGTGGTTTTTGCTTCATGAAGCCCAGAGCTTCATACTAGTAAGCAGTATAGAAACTGCATCGATGAAAACACTACATCTGATTGTCCTTTCCAGGCATCTTAAGTCGGCATGACCGTGAAAAAGCATTTGCCTCCCTCTGGAGAGAACCTGAAGCTAACCCAGATTGGAGTGCTGTAACCGTCTCGGTGAGCACCAGTGACATTTCACATACCAGCAGTGGTGTTTATCACTGGACAGCGTCTAATGCCCGAGTTACAGCGCTGCACCGTGAACACAGCCGCCGTAGGAGGTGTGGATCTAGCTCGACTTGGCTGTGTTGCTTTTCCTCCCTGTTTTGGTAAATTGTCCATGTCTTCTAACTACTTTTTAGAGCCTTTTTTTTTTTTAACAAAGGAGTTAAATTTCAAGATTTTAATCTTTGTTTCAGCCTTTACTATGTCACTGGTAAACTAGGTCTAGAACACACCTACTGATTAATAACTGTCTTGGAAGAGCTTTTAAACCTGCTTGTTTTACAGGGCAAATTACAGTTCAGGATTACAGACAGCTCTCAGTGTTCACCTGCGTTCGAAAAATTACCTCATCAGCTGGGGCTCAAATCTGATGTCCTGGGTTAGACTGCAGACGTAGCTCGCTGCTCAGCATCCCTCCTCCCACTGCTCAAACGGCTGGGACTGTTGCAGTCAAGCACAGATGTCGTCTTTCCAGCTTCAGGGAAAGAAAGACGGAGAAGAGGGTTTAGGGAGAATGCTGTTAACCTTAACATCCAGGAGGGCTGAAGGACAGCGGCCAAGAGGAGACAGTCAACCTGGGGGGTGAAGTCAGCAGTGACTTCTTGCCATCCTTTTGAGACACGGGTAGTAAATAGTCCAGACCACCAGTACTTTTGTTGGAGAATGCGCAATTTTAGCTAGCAGAAAAAGTACTTGAGAGATGGACGGTATCTTGATCTGTTTGGATTTTGAGGGCTTTTCTAGGGATCTATAGGATAGCATTAGAAAAGGCTTAATGAAGTGAAAGATGGGTTTATTATAAATGGGAGAGAGGACAAATCAGTATTAGAGTGGGAGTAGAAAATATGAGGTTCCTGAGTAAATGTGACAGATTTTAACAAATCCGTTACAGTTAGGACATACCCGATTGGTGAAGCTTCTCCTTCCAATCCCAAAGATTTAAGCGGCAGGAAAAGTTTGCTTAATACATCTTAATCTGAGTTAGACTCTCAGCACTTACTTCCCTACCTGTGCCAGGATTTCCATCTGGGTGTGTTGGCTCTGCACTGCGCTGTCCTCTGTAGATGACTGTAAGGGGATGCAGAAATAAGGGCAATTTAAGTTACGGAAAAGCAACGGTTTTGAGAAATGTTTGTTTCAGTGGCTGCTTTTGAAGTTGTTTCTGGTGGTTTACAGAGGCGAAGAACCCACAAGACTATCCTGTTGAAACACCAGAAGATAGAAGGTAGAATAGGTTAAGGTAAGCAAGACCCTTTTACTAAAAATGAGACATATGACATAGTGGAACTTGTAGTGGGATATGGCCAGGCTATGAGAGATAAGCCTGCCTGTAGTTACGTGCTTCTAGAGACACAGTAAATGCTATGGCTGTGTAGAATGCATGAGGGACAGGCCACTTGTAGGTAAGGTGTTTTTTCATTACACATTACAAGGTGGGGAGGTGAGACAACCCTGTGTGACACTAACACGAGCCTTAACTATCAAATATACGTGTAGTCTGCATCTTATTTGGAGCTACATGATGCTGACGTTTTACAAACGTCATGGATTTGGAATGAATGTACTGCATGCTCTTACCTACTCCAACAGAGCTGCTAGAAGAGGTCACTGAAATGACATGAAATAGCAGGATAAATGTTAGGTGTCAAGTTGTACACTGCAATGTTAGTCGTCTGTAGAATACAGTCCGTGCTATACAACTGTGCAATCCCAGATAGCAGTAGTTTTGTAACAGATTAAATGTATCCCCTGAGAAAGAAATCCCAAGGAAATCACTACCACTTTAAACAATTTTTACTTAAAATATGCACTAAAGAGTGGTTCTTCAAGGTTCTTGATTTGGTTTTTTAATTAAAAATAATTCTCTTAAAAAAATTATAAAACAAAGCAATTAAAAATCCTTATTTGCCTCTGTATTGTAACCACTACTGATCTCCCAGATGAACATTAACTTCCCGGTATTCACCAGGTTAGGAGTGATACTATTAAAAGGCATCTGTGTAGGTAAGTATGACCAGTCCCAAAACACTCCCGTGAAGTCCCCATCACACATACTGCAAGATAGCACCCATAAAGTTTACTCTGGAGTCAACGCTAGAATAGAAAAGTTCTGCTGTGTTCCATCGGGTCCCGTGGACTTGTGCACCTTCAGGTTCCTTAGCTGCTTCTGAATCTGATCCTCACTGGATCAGGATCATGGGCAGTTCTCCATTCTCCCAGTCCCTGCCCTTGCCTTCCGTGACTTGGGGGTATGGCTCACGTCTTTGCCAGTGAAGGCTAAGGCAAAAAAATCATTGAGCACCTCACCCTTCTCCATGTCTGGGAAACCAGCTCTCCCACTTCCTTCCACACAGGGCCCACATTTTCCCACATTAGGAGTATTGTTAGTATCACTATAGGTTTTATTTATATTATTACATAGTTCTTATCTCAACTTTACGAGCTTCCCTTGTCTTTTCCTCCGACTCTCTTCCTGCACTGGGAGAGGGAGGTGAGCGAGCCTCTGTGTGGTACTTAATTGCCAGAGGAGGTTAAACCATGACAGTTCATTTTGGCACCCAGTGTGGGCTCGAGAGTGTTGAGATAAGAACAGATGTGATTAGTGTGTGATCAGTATTCGGTACAGCGATGTGGTGGTGGCTGATCCAGACACTGTGTTTGGAGCTCTTTCAGTTGGTAACAAAATGATGGGATCTACTACCTTACGTGTTCCTCATTATCCTGTCTTACACTCTCAAACCAGGTTGGGGGGTTTGGTTAGGCTGTTCGGTGTATTGCTGATGTTGGGAGGAATCCTCTATCTGTATTTAGTATTGTCAGTCCCCTGGTACAAAATACTACCCTGGGCCTTGAAAGGCAAGTCCCGTGGTGACACGGCACCCCAGAAAGAATTGAGTCAGACAATGGGACTCACTTCCAAAACAGCCTCATAGACACTTGGGCTGAAGAACACGGAATAGAGTGGGTGTATCACATCCCCTGCCATGCCCCTGCCTCGGGGAAGGTCTAACGGTGCAAGTGGTTCTTTTTTCTCTGCCAACCTTTGTGTGTTTTGCCCCCAAATTGAATAAAAATAGAAGTTTAAGTCACTATCTTCCAATAAAAAGGTCCAGTCAGCTTTACCACATTTAAAGGATCCAAAATAAATTGAAGAATACACTGCTGCTTACCAGTAGTGTAACTGAATTCATCGCCTATAGGACTCTGCCCTGCCTCACTATATGCCAAGTCAGTAGTGAGATACGTAAAGCTGCAGTCTGCCTGGAAATAGCATTGAGTACGTGGTGTGTTGCGGTGCACTTCCAAGCCATTGTCACACACAATAATGACCAAAACTGACACTAGACCATGATATCAGCAAGCGGCCAAATTCATCCTCTTCAATTGATATATTCACCAGTGCACCAGGAACTGAAGATTTAAAAAAAAAAAAAAAAAAGAAAGAAAGAAAGAAAAGAATTGTAATCAGAGTATCAGAACAGTCTTATTGAAGTTATACTTTTGGGGAATAAAGGAAAATGAGGAATACATAGAATTATTCTACTCAGGTTGAACCGTTCTGTTAAGAAAACAGCAACCTGTCTGCCTTCACAGAGGATGCTACTTACATTTAGAGGAAAACTGAGTGTGATTTTTGCAGAACAAAATAAATGCTACCTTCATGTCTTACAGAAAAGAGATGGGCTTAAGGAGCTCCTGTGAACAAAAATGGTGGCACCAGGTGGTATTTCAAAAGGAACTCACAAATAGTGGGTTTGTATGACAATCAGAATACTGGCTTGAGTAGCAGTTGGCACCCAAAAACCTTTATGTGACAACCCTTTATATACTGGTATGAAACTCACAGGCTGTGTCTCAACAGAGCTGTGCTTTGCTTAGGTTTCCTTTCTGGTGGCATACCAAAACATCACGTTAAACTGTGAACTCCGTGGCTTTTGCTTAAATAACATTTACTTTCTTTCTAGTTCAAAAAGTTTAGCTTGCTGCTATTAGAATGAATATACATGATCTAGCTTAAACACTATTGGCTGAGAAGATTACAGCCCACAGCTTAAGAGTTGTCTCTTGCTTAAAGCTCCCGTTAGATCCAGCTCTGAGTGGTTCACATGGATGATCTCTAAGTCATATCAGTGAGAAGTCAAAATGAGACAGGTCACATCAATTAATTCAGTAAACAACGTTGTGTCTTTAAGGTAGCACAAGAAGGATTAGGTTTTGCTTACGTGGGCAGTTCACCTAACAGGTCAGGAAGCAATAACCTCCGACACGGCAGTGGTGCTAAGTTGTGGAAGCAAGCAGCCTTTTGTCCTGACAAAGCTGCTACCTCCGAATGGTCTACGACTGCATCTTAATTTAGCCTAGTGGTGCTACTTCAGCAGAGTGTGGTTATTTGCTGACCTTTCTAAGTAATGACTAGATTTAGCCTAGAACAGTTCTCAGGTTAGGGCCAGTCCTCAATGCTATTTCCTCACAGATTTCTCCCAATCTGTTTGCGGCAGACCTGACCTTGCAGGACAGGTCTGTTACTCCTTACACTGCACACTCAGAAAACTGGCTTCAGAACAGGCACTTCTGGTAAGAGGAAAACGCAGGCTTACTGGTTCAGCCAACAAGATATACACCCTTGCACGTTTTTCTCACAGGCATATGGATCAAGTGTAGACTATTATCCCTGACACAGGGATAGGGATATGGCAGAGCTCATGCACCAAGTTCAGAAGCAGAAAGAGCTATTTGAGAACCACCCGTGAATTGTAATGGGCTAATTTACATTTGAAACTAAAGAAACAGATGTTGAAATGCCATGAACTGTATGAGGATGAATGACACATACTAGATTTTAAGCTTACTGCATCAGTAGGCTCACTGGATCGTCGTACGCTGTGGCAGAAACGGAGTGAGCCCTCCGAGTGAGCCTCACTGGAGTGATGGCACCATGCAGGAGGCAGATGGGCTACACTTCAGCTTCCAGCGTCCACTGGAGGCTGTCACACTATGTCAGAGCTCCTTCTGTTGGCATCCAAGAAACAATAGCTCTTAAAGCGCTGCTATTAAAAGCTACTTGGGCATCTGCTGGTGCCTTAAGACCTACTGGATATCAGTTTGGAACACACAAAGGAAACCAAACCATATGGCCTACAGACACGACCTTTTTCCTAACTTGCAAACTAAATACAATTTCTGTGTGCAGACCTTATCCTCATTCATATTAAAGTGATTTTTTGTTTTAAGAAATCATGCTAGTTGTACACTGTCACAACGCTGTCTGTTGAAAGTCCTTGCTTTGTTTGAATATTTGCTTCTCGCAGTTAGAAAATTCCTCAAATCAGACTAAGCTTGTGTAGTCCTTACCCAGGCCTGCCCTAGGTAAAACTTCAGTGGTTGTTACTAGTACCTTTGCCTCAGTAATATTCATTGAACTTGGACATGTCACCTGAACTTTCACAAACTTTGAGACGGGGGTAAAAATTATATGATCTTAAAATGTACCCAACATATCTTTGAAAAACCTAACACAGTCACACATACAGATACGTATTTCCTGGTATCTATTTTAAGGCTTACTTGGTTTCAGGAAAGAAAAATTCTTACTTGTTCTTTGGTTATATGTGACATCATCTCCAGATATCCCACTGACATTCCAGACACATGCCTTGCTAGTATAGAGAGTTCCTGGATCTAGATTTGTAAATATCCAGGAGGCACTGGTGGTGTTCTCCTTCAGCATTCTGCTCCCACGGTCCCATCTCACGAGGGACCCAGAGAATCCCGCTGCCATTTACACAGCTTTCCAGCTCACTGCAACGGAGTGACAACTCGTAGAACTACCAGAACTGGAGTAGCCAGGGCTGTTGAGAAAGAACACCAGTTAAGCTTTTGGGTTTTGGCAATACTGTTTGAAAGGGCCACCCTTGAAACGTGTACACAGAACAACAATCACCAAACTCCGAGAGGCAAATTCAGTGACACCAAAAGGAGAAGACAAGTTAGAATAAATATGGAAAGTGAATTGGTGCATCCATTAAAATATGACATGTTTTGTGAAACGAATGTCACATAGAAAGTATGAAAGGTGGAGTGTGTAGAAGAATGAAAACCAGCGAGAAGATACTGCATTTCCTGTCCTCTAAGTTTTACATTGTTGTCTTATTTTGTACTTTTAGTTTTTTCTTCATTTCTTCCATTCCCTCAGGTTACATCTTTTAAAAAAAAGTTAAAATAAAATAAAAGATGTTAAAATAAAATCCAATTTTGTTAAATAAAATACATTCATACAAATTCTAGTAAAACTTCCTATTAAATATTTAATATATACCACTGTAAAAAAAAAAAAAGATGCTTGCATGAATGCTTTATATTATAACAACATTAAAGAGTTTAAAATAAGAATTTGAAAGTCCACCTGTTTCTGCTTTTCTGAAAGGTGAAGGCTGGCTTTTTCCTCCTGGATGTATGGATCTGATAGCGATTCTGTACAAGGTGGCCGGTCTCAGTCCCGTCACTGTTCCTGGGGAATTTAGAAGTGCAGCTGGAGTAAAGGAGTCTCCTTCTTGTGCAGATAACCAGCAGCCCCAGGTACTGACCTCTGTGATACTGTTGCTAGGCTTTGAATAAGCTTGGTCAGTAACAGGTATGTCCAGAGCTAAGCCAGAAATAAGGACAGACTTGCTGAAATTGGGGAACTCAGCCCTGTGAAACACTACGTGCTCTGAACATTGCACAAACACTGGTCGGGACAAACGGCCTACTCTTGCTAGGAATATTTTAAATTTAAGTTACGTGATGTTTAAATTAACATTAACCAAATACACAGAACTTTGAGACCAACTTTCATCTTTCAATAAAAATATTCTAGTACCCTTGAAATCACTATTGAAAAAGACCATTATTTAACCTAGGCTGCACCAAGGGATGTCTTTTTTGTCTTCCCCTATAGCAAATGAACTGTACTGGATGTTTACAGAAAGCAATATACAAACCAATATATGCAAAGAAGCGGACTTTGTACAACAGTCTGAAATAGGATGACGAATCACAGGCATTTCTCTTATCAGAGAGCAACGTGCAATAATTTAGTTTGGAAGGGACCGTGGGAAATCATCTTATCCCACCCCCCTGCTCAGAGCAGATATACTTAGATAGACAGTAACACAATACATCAAATACTGCAATTAAATGCTTTTATGCAGCAGGCCATTCAGAAAGAGCTCTTGTGTACTGCCTGTGTGGACTGCAGTCACAGAAGTAATAACAGAGAGTGTGTTTCTTAACCACAAGTAATTTATGCTCAGTAATCAGGATTTTCAGACCCACATCAGCATATATAAAGTCCATGTATTGCAAGATTGCAAAAAATGCACTAGAAGAGAAAAAATTTGAAAATGAAGGTGTTTCCCACCTAAAATTAAGAAAAGGAATGAAAAATTATTTGGGACAAAAGTATGCACCTTGAGGCAAACTTACTTATAGCAAGGCAGCTGATTTGGGATTTCAGAGACCCTAGCAAGTACTACACACGGTTATATACTCCTGAGCATTATGCCTGCTTGGCCCAAGCATTTTCTGATCCAGCTACAGCCAGACACCCTCTTTTGCCCCATTTGTAGAAATGGTAACATGTATCTTCTATGGCCGTGTTTATGGAACGTTTGCAGGTGTGTCTTTCACAATCTTTGAGCAAACCACTGCACTATGATTTTCTTTCTGCTTTTAAAATACTGTCTTTAGTAACAATTTATAAAAATTTCTGTGCAGGAAATCCTTAGGCAAATCTGAGGGAGTTGCTTGCCTAGCAGTCAAATAGAGAACTTACAGCATATGATTTATATCAGAAATAAACTCAGAACATTAATCATTAATACCTGTTCTTCCACAACTAAGCTAGCACTGGGGGGGTGGGGTGGGGTGGGGTGGTGTTATACTTCCCAGGATAAACACTGCTACTTTTTATTTTCATTTTTTATTATAATAATTACTTCTATAAGAAACAAATTTACTGGCAAAATAATGGCTATTCCTACAAATTACCAATGAAATTATTTTAAAAACAGAATTTCAACAGAATATTTTTTCAATTACATTTCAGTGATGAGATAAAAAACCACTTCTGTGTATGTAGATTCTTCCTCAGTATCCATCAGTTACTTATAAGCTACAAGGCCTTTTGCGAATTAAACAAAAACACCATTTATCAGCATCAGTACTGAAAAACCTATAGCTTCTGTCAAAGTTTAATCCCAGCTAACAACAAAGTACCACACAGCCACTCGCTCCCCTACCCACCTTCCCCAACAGTGGAGGAGGAGAATCAGAGGAAGAGACAAAGAAACTTGTGGGCTGAGATAAGAACAAGCTAATAATTGAATATAAATGAATAAAATAGTGATACGGATAACACTAAAAATACTAACAATACCAGCAATAATGTATGATGAAAATAATGGAGAATAAAAAAAATTATACAACTGCTCACCACCCACCCACCCACAGACACAGCCAAGTCCTGAGTAGCAAGAGTCAGAGCCTGAGAGCCAGAACTCTAAAGCAATCGCAGCAGAGTCTGAGCAAGTCCGAAAGAGAGACCACACCAGCGTCCGAGCGAGCCCCACAAGCGACAGCATGACTGAGGAAGCCAACCAGCCCACCGCCACCAGCCGACTGACTAACGTGGCCCCTGGCCCACCCCAAGCTTATGCCCCGAGCATGATGTACTATGGAATGAAATACCCCTTTGGTCAGCTGCTTGAGCTGTGTGTCCCCTGCACTGCTTGTAGCGAGAGAGCTGGGAGTGCAGCTGCAGTATCGGAAGCGGAGAAAGACCTTGAATTAGTGCAAGCACTCCTTAGTAATGACTAAAACCACCAGTGTTATTAGCACTCTTCAGGGCAAATCCGAAACAGCCTCATCCTAGCTGCGAAGAAAATGAACTCTGTCCTGACTAAACCCAGCACAGCTTCTCATCTGCATTGGCAAAGTGTAGATAGATGATTTAGAAAGCTGCAGTCTGAGCAAGCTGTGTGTGGCAGGTCAGAGAAATGTATATATTAAAAAAAACCAAAGCAGAGGGGAAAAGGAGCTAATCATGCCAATACTGAACTCAGCAGAAGTAATAAAAGACTTCAGCAAGAATGGCATTACAGTGAAACATCCTGGATAAAATCACAGTCCTACAGAGGTCAAGGGAAATTGTAATTCACAAGGCTTCTTTTACTAACCTGCTGACTGCATAATCTGTGTTTCTGTAAGAATAATTCCATTCTTGTCAATGGCTTCTGCTGGTATAGCATAAATACATTGGGAATGAATGAGGGTACAGTTCCTTTAAGTGCAACTTCACTAAAATGAGGGGGCAATGAACGGCCTACAGTATTTACACTTGTAGCTGTAAGAAGAGGCTCTTGAAAATTTGGGCCATCCGAGATAAATGTTTCATGACGTCACATCATATATAGACAAAGGGAAACCTAAAAAAAAATATAATCATTATTGAAAAAACATTTCAGCCATTCCTGAATTTATGCAAGTCTTGACAAGAAGATTGTTCAGTGCCTTATCAAGCATCTATGTGACCTAATTTTCAGAATACAGGCACTCCACTGAATTTGGAGTGCTGTTGCTCGTGTTCACTTTTGTAATCCGTTAATTACTGAAATAACTGCCGCTTGCGCCTATAATATCATGCTGTGCTGATGGCTGTTTTTCTTAAAACCCCCATATGCTGTGGTCTAATTATTATTAGAAATACTGGGTATAATCTGTACGTGAGTGTCAACAGTATTCTGTACTTGAATAGGATTGAATGCTTGTTCTGTAAATTATGAAAAGGATGTGTTACAGTGTGTCCAGAGACTGCAATAACATGGCTGCAATGATAAAGCATTTAGGACTTTTGACACTGCCTGAACATGCACTATCACCAGAGAATGAATGATTCCTGAGAGCATTTCTTGTAATCTTGCATTCCTCGTATTTTAAACTGGTCAGCATTCACACTTAAGGCAATAGGTGCTGTAGGCACAAAATATAAGATTGAACACAGTATAAAATGTTGTAAAATATTGGAAATATTTGTGTTTAGGAGATCATGCTTCTGGGGTGTTTTTGGGGTTGTTTTGGTTTTAATTAAAAAGATAAAACAAATAACTGCCTTCAAATATGGGAGCGTTTGAATCTTATTTGTAGGACAGCTATGTTGGCAATGAATAGCAGTTCGTCCAGCTGAGTGTGCTCCCCGACTCATGCTAGTGTCAAGGCATAAGTGGTCTGCCAGAACCTTTGTGTGCATGTCTGACAGAATTGGGACTCCTAAAAATGAGGTTTAAAATTTGTAAATATATCAACATAGATTTTTCTAAAGCTGAATCAAGCCTGACAACAATTTTTGTTTATAAAGCTGCTAGAACTTACAGAATGTTCTACTAGAAATCATGTGTGTGTTCTCTTCAGACCTATTAAAAAATAAGCAGGCAAAACCAAAATAGCATTTTGAAATAATATAACCTGTGTTAGCTGAAAAGAGCTGAAAAGGGAGATGTAAAAATATTAGAAGTACAAAGTAAAGTATTTTATTTGGAAAATTAAAACCTAATAATGTTAGTAACAACAATAACTCAAAATATTACATTTTTAAAACACATTTTACTGATATGATGTATTTGGTCAGATTTTTTTTAAGCACAGGAAGTTTACAGAGAGATTTGGTACAGGTATGCAGATCGTATTCTTCATTTTCCTCTCCAAATCTGCCTATTGATCTAGTTTTCAGTTGTTGACAGACTTCAAAAGACATTGGGTCCAAATATTTTTATTTTTCAGTCACTTGTAAACACCACAAAAGTGTAATTGTACCAAAATACGAAGTGGGTGTCAGATAGTCTCCACCCTAACTTTTAGTTTACTCCTGTAAGGAGTAAAATATCATTCTTGAAAATAGTTTTAAAGCGAGTTGCACTCAGCATTTCCAGGCAGTTGAAAAGCAGTCCAATAAATATTAATGATTTACTTTTTGCACCGTACCTCTTTCCAGAACTTTGTTCTTCACACGGGGATGAGCTCCGGCCAGTCCCAGCCGTAAGCAGGCATACTGTGCAGCAGCGCGGTCTCCGTGGGTATTTCTGCCCGGGGAGGAGAGGAGTGCTCTCAGGTTCGGCCCGCCCCGAGGGCCTACAGCCCGCCGGCGGTCAGCGAGGGGGGCGGCATCGCTCCGACACAGCGCGGAACCGCGGGGCGGGCGGGCGGCCGCGGTTTCTCCCTCCTGCCACAGGATGCAGTTGCTGTATTGCTTACACAAGGTTCATAAAATAATTAAGCCCAAGGTAAACTCGAAATTTGCTCCTCAGCTCTTTACCTATT